AAACCGGAAAAGTACACACACACAAAAAAAAAAAAAAAAAAACACTCCTCAAAGATGTCCCTGGAGAATTTGAACCCCACCACTCTTGCCTCCCTGTCTTGTATGGGTCTCCCCTGCTTTGCACAAGAATTCAAGAAGCACCACTCTCCCTTCCCACTAGCAGCATAGCTGAAGGTCTGGGAAGGGGTCTGACAGTCCCTTCTACAAGCTCTCCAGCTCCCTTTGCTGGCAAATGCTAGCAGATCAAGTTCCCAGGGCACTTACTCCCTTCCCCCTCCCCTCCCCCAGATCGTTTGCCCTGTGAACATGAAGCAAATCACATAGCATGACAGCTTCCATCAACAACATTACTTGTTGCTTGAAGAAAATATCATCTGCCAGGGCCTCAACTAGATTTAAGTCCCCCATCCTAAGACTCAGGACACCCCTAAAAAATGTCAGCTTTTACTCATTTTTTGACTCTGGAAAAATATTATAGAGCAATTCTTTTGTTGCAAAGAACTCAGAGAGACCATAGCTAGTCTTTTGACACTATGAATTCTTATTTGAACCTATTTGAAATATCTTGCAAATTATGTGCAAGCTTCTGCACATCTAAGAGTGCTAATACTTGGCAGTACTCGGTGGCACTCTTAAAAAAATTCACAATACTGATAGAGAATCGCTGCTTTAGGTTATTTTTCTGGGGAGCAAAAGATGGGGGTTTGAATTTTCTCTAGCAGAATAGGAAACTGAGCGCAGATGTACCACATCTTGTGTTTTCCCATCATAAGTTACCATATAAATGAGGGACAACATTTCCTTTTCCAGCTGCCTTGAAAGAGTGACCTGTGCTCTGTTTTTGAAAAAAAAAAGGTGAAAGGCATCTCCCAGGAGTAATAAGTAAAACATTTGTACCTCACAAAGAGACAGGATTTAGGACTTGTCCTCAATGTTTCCCTTTTGTCTTGCCTGACATGGCTCCCTGCTCTCATCATGCTATATTTCTGCCATTCTGAGGCACCTAACTCTGGTGTTTAACTCTGGATTTCACTACAAATGTCAAGCACTTGAAAGTCAGTGTTTAGCACTGTGACAATGAAGTGCCTTTTTAGACCTTTTTGGCTGTGAAAAAAATCACTTAAACCTTCTGTGTCTCAGTCTCCCTATGAAATAGATATGAAAGTTTTCATGGCAATATCATGACATTTATTTTATTAATGTTGTTAAAGCAGTTTTAAACTTTCAGAAGCACTATATAGTATATGTATGGCAAGCATCAAAGGTTAGGTTTCCATTAGATCTCCCAGTTTTCAGTCACTTGTAACAATCTTAATTTTCACTTAATCAGGAAACTCTTAAATGAGAATGATACTATATTGGAACATCTCCCAGGAAACCAATTTAAGTAAATGCTAGTGAACAGTAATTACTGGTGTTTAAGGAGAACAATTTTAGTAGATGTGACATCTGATAGAGAAGCAGTCAGCCAAGTGCTAAGTGGTAAAACTGGTGGTTAACCAGGTATAAAACTGTAAGATATGGTCTTTAAGTACAGAAATTGCCAAATGTTATATATTGATGTATTATATAAAGAAGAATGAACCAATTATCAATTAAAATATAACTATGCTGCATTTTAACTGTGTCTTTTGGCATGCTGATTGCCTTGGCAAGGGGCATTATGTAAATATAATTCCTTGCCCTCATTTTGTAGCTGCTTCACAGGCAAAATTCGTATTTATTTCATTGTTTTGCCTGCAGAGTAGTTGCAGAAAAAGAAATAATGAAGAACAGGGTAAATATAGTTAATATAGGTTGAATAACCTTTTTTTATTCTTCTAAGTTTTATATAATACAATTCAATGTTTTATTTTTAACTCGTTTCCGACCATTTTAGATTAATGTTCTCCTAGCTGGAACAGGTGTGTAATTAGAAAGATTCTACTGTAATTGTAATTGAAAGCTTTTATGTTAGCCTTCTAGTTTTTTTCGTTAATGTATATATACAATATAAATATAATACACAAATGATATGGTAGCTGTGATAAAGATATCAGGGTGGATTGGCAGCTAATATCATAGCTCCAATGAGGTCAATAGAACTCTGACAAATTAAACTAACTAAGGATCTGCCAGATTGTATTAAATGTACATATAATATATAAGGTGAGAGGGGATATCTAAGTAAACAGTTAACACCACTGCAGACAATCAACAATGAAATAATCAACCTGGAAAATAATATACACCTTCCCGTATTTGGCTCAATACCAAGCAATTAAAAGATGTTAAGAACTCAATCTACTTAACTTAATGAAAAAGTGGTTAAGAGGTAACTTGATAATGGTCTAACAAAAACAGAACTTAGGAAGAAAATTTCTGATAGCAAAGGGATCTTTAACGTAACAGTAAAAGCCACAACAAAAGCCACTGTTTGGAAACTCAAGCTACACAAATTCAAATGGGGAATCAATTATTTTTTAACAGAGAGGGTAATCAACCATTGGATTAATTTGCCAAGATATGCGATGGATTCTCCTTTACTTGAAATCCTTAAATCAGGGTGGATATTTCATTAAAAGGTATGCACTCATACAACCACAAGTTACTAGGCTGGGTGCTGGAATTAGAGGGTGAAATTCTATGCCTTTGTTCTGCAGGTCAGATTAGATGATCACAATAGTTCCTTCTGACCTTAAATCTATGAATTAAGACAATCAATATACTATTAACCTTAAAATGATATTATAGCAGGGGCTTGAGGAAATGCATGGAGAAGCCTTTAACTGTTTCTATCAGGACAATCCCAGATATTTGCAACAGAAAAAGCTTCTTCACCTCAGAAGTACTGACTTGCAAAGTTCCACTAATTTCAATGCCCTCCCTAGTTTTATGTCCTTTTTTTATTCCTGAGGCCGCTGGTGTTCATGAGGCATGATAGATTCCAATACAAGCAATACTCAAATCTCTATATAATTTAAGAATATAAACTGGGTCAGACTAACTGTCCATCTAGCCTAGTATCCTGTCTAACAGTGGCAGAGGTGGATGCTTCCGAGGGAAAGCACTGAACTGGGCCTATCTAGAGTGATTTATCTTGGTCTCATACTGTCACTATCCTCAGAGCATGAGACCAATTATAATAATGATCTCTACTTTACTTTAACCCCAGCATCTCTAAACTAACCGACTGTCCCAGTTTGGTGTTGTGTTAAAACGTAGCTTGCTTTGCTGAAGTTAAAAACTAAGCAATATTCTTGGAAGGCAGAAGCATTTTCTAAACTAGTCTTGCATGAAGGAAATTTGCCTCCAGAGCAAACAGGATTTCTTTTGGCTGCTCTCAGTTTCTGGACACTCAAGTTGTTAACACTACCAAAAACAGACTGCTATATCTGTTAGGAGTTTGTCTTCTCCCCTCTGAGATACTACCTTGATTATGAACATCCTCACCTTGCCATAACACTACATTTAATTTTTGAATCAAGGCATTTTCACCACAGCCTTCATTACCGTGTTTATAAGCAAAGAGACAAACTACAGAATGCCAGGGACTGTGGCATGACAAATATTATTACAATTTGGGGGAAAAAACTCAGCTTTTTGACTTGCGGACTGATGCATATAACAGAGAGTCTTAGTTATGCACCCTTATCCATATCAAATGAAAATATTCCCCTATCTGTGCAAATGACTCTAAGAGACAGACATCAGAGTTTTGGCTTTTTTTGTTCAAAATACATTAAAATGCAGTCATCAAAACTATAAACAAATTGTAAACATAACATTAACAGCAAAATAATTTCTTGCTGGATCTATGGATAATGTGAATGATACAAATGTTTCATGGAACTGATAGGGGCTTCAATTTTATTTTTCGTTGAGTCTGCAATAATTTCAGGGCTTTACACCATCCCTACATTAATTTCATTAAATCCCTGTAAAACTAGTGAAGGGAATCCATGGGGTCCACCTGGATCGTGGTGGTCAGAAAATCACAGTAAAGTACAAAGCTCTTCAATATAATATAAGTGGCAGATAAATCTTGAAGTTTTCTTTGCTTATTGATTAAAATACACTTAGTATAATTCCTTTTATTTTCTGTTTACAGCTAAGTATTTATAATTTTTCCACATATAAAACCATGGAAATATCTTCCATTGGACAAAACACCGATGCACATTCAACAACGATTTCACAATGCTATGGAGTTTTGACATGACTGAACTGGCCTTTGAAAATATAATTATCAAACAACCATTTCCTTAATTAAATACTCAACAGGAGAAATGTTTGAATCAAATATGGCAGCCTATACATTTTCTGCTTAATCTGTTATTATTTTGTATGTCTATATTAGTGTGTACAGCACCAGAATTAATTTTAGCTTTTGCCTCTAATACACAGTAATGAAGTAATGTCACAAAGAAGAATTTCTATTAATTCATAGATGTAATGTAGGTGGATCCAAATTCAAAGAGATTGAAATATGCCTACTGAAAATCATGTACTTCACTACTTCCCCAAATAACTATAAGTATGCTATATAATACAAATGGAAGAAAAGGTGCATATTCCTAAAAAAATTAAAAAAGAAAATAATCTGCTAGAGAAGCTGCTTAAGTTGCAGCACTGCGTACTATTTACAGCATGCTCCCAGAAATAAGATGATCCAGCTAAACTATATAATCCCAAAATCTGCTCAATGGCAGGACAGCAGGTGGCACTGGAAACTTGCCAACAGTACAACAGCTGTGCCTAATTGGTATAAAAGTGATCCTAGTGTAGCTCTCCATCTTCAATATGAAGTTGTGATCTTTACAGAACATAACTTTCAGTATGTAGTGTCCCACTCTTTAACAACATGGTCCACTTGGTGTAGCTATTCAAGAGGACTTGTGGTCTTTTAATTTTTTTTCCATAAATAAAATGAAGATGTCTGCAGGATGCACATGTACCAGTTCCATGGCCCCCATTGACTCAAAAAGTTACCCTTTAGATATCGCTGTGTTAATACTCACATTTTCTAAGCCAAGAAGCACCAGCAGTGGGATTGTTGTCATTCCTCCTTGGATCCATTCCTCCAGAGATACAGTGCCATCATGGTCATAGTCAATTTCTTCCATCATTTCATGAAGGATCTGTACAATTATAAAAATCTGTAAATTCCATGTTATAAGGTAACAAGTCTGTGCCTCCTGAACACCACTTCAGAGGGAAAAACAACAATTACCCTGTGTGGAAGAACTCTGCAAATAAGTTCTTAAAAGTTTTTTTTAATTTTTTTTCTAAATCATTGTAAGAACTAAACCAAAAGCATTCAAAACCATTTTCTCCAGTGAAAAAACAACTCGTATCAGCCACTCCTATCAAAACTCTATATTTTTCTACAAAATGTGTTTTCTAAAGCATCTAATTTTTCAATTTAAAAAATCATTTCTGCCCCATATTTTCAATTTTCCCCAATTTATTCCACAATTTTGCCAGCAAGAAATAATGAAGGGTATCACATTACATAACATCGCATCAAAACTGAAACATGCATATTTTATTATTCCCAACAGATATATCAAGGAAACAGAAATATTTTACCTCTAACCTTATTCCTTCATGGCTATAACATCAATCCAACATTACCTAATCCGTAAAGACATTATATGACAATTTTACATTGTCATCCTTGGAGCATTACAACTTCTTGAATTCTACAGCATGACACAGCTTTAAGGAAAAATTCACCTCATACAAAACCCGAGTATCACTTAAATTTGGTTTTAAAATGGAACCTAAATGGCACATGCCCTTGTTCTGGTCCTTCCCATTTCATAGAATAAAAGGCACTTACTGTATTGGTAAAGGCGCATACCATACTGTCTCACATTTACTAAAATCCAAGACAAGGTTTTTTTCCCCCATTTAACTTTTGGGAAAAGACCCTTCTTTTGGATTCAAAAAGAGGTATTGAGAGGATGGAAAGCTGCTGTGTTTGTGGCTGTGGCTCCAGCCCAAACCTGGGGTCATGCCCAGAGCTGTAGTTGCAACTGCTGTCTGTCCCTCTACTGCCTCTGCCCCCATTGCCCTTGTCCCCACAGCTTC